AGCCTATCTGAGAGGCAGAGTTTTGCGTTTATCTCAGCATGCTTGCGGTTGAAGTTCACAAAATATCCTGGCATGAAAAAAAAATGCAGCACATAAAATCTAAAATGTTGCGAATACGGATAGCGCCCGCCTTCTTATCGTAATGCCTCTGTTAAAATGTCAGTGAGAATCTCAAGGCAAAGTCGTATTTTTTCCAGCATAACAAAGAAAAGCGGAAATTTCAACTATTTTTTTATGGATATAAAGTAGATGAGTGGTAACTGAATGAACTGAGGAAGAGAACCGTCGTTACGAACTCTTTTCTGCACTTCTTCTAAAAAGAAACCCGAGCTTACTACTCACAGTGTCACGGACGACAAAAACTGTTCTATCATGCATGCTGCACCCTTCAATAATCTGCGAGATTACAAATATGCACGAAATACTTTTCAAATTCTGTGTCACACAATAACTTCTTGGACTATGAGAGTGCTATTTCAGAAGAATGACGGAACCTGGAGATCGGCAAAATGTGACTCGCTCGGTCTGCAAAGGCTGTGGTCGACATCGGTCGCTGAGAGGGAGTCCGATTTTGTCACACAACAATACCTGGACGCACTCTCAAGCAAAGCTACGAAATTTCCTAGAATCGCATTGCGATTCCTAACATTATTTAGCCTGCTATTCGGACCTTATGCCAGAAAACCGCCATTTCATGAAGGAGCTCGCCAACTAAATGCTTTTGAAAAAGTGATGCTGAGATCGTTCATACGTCGTTAGGAAATGGCAAGGCTATGACACCTCAGGTTTAAAAAATCTTCTTCGAACTCTTTGATTTTATCAGTAATGGAAATAGCTATTCTTAGAGTCGAAAATACTGTAAAAACCGGAACATAGCAATCTTTAAGTAGTTAAGTAAACCACATGGTCGTTTAAAGGGTTTTAAGGGTAGAAGTAGAAGAAATCATTCCTGTTTAAGTGCTGTTTAGGTGAGTGACTCAGTAGTAGTGGTTGCAACATGCATTATAAATAAAGAAGTACCTTGCAAAAGGGGGAGAAAGACATTATAAGATGTAGCTATGCCTGCTTCACTGGAAAAATGGTAGGATTTGATCAGATGGCTTTGTGATTGCACAGGGATCGTGAAAGAGCACCGTCACATACTTGCCCTTTACCCAACATCCATGTTGTTTTGCAATTTCTAGACATGATGCTGTTGTTCAAATAGAAGCGCTAGTGTATTTAACAGCAGTCACTAAGCTTCGTTCTTTTCTGCAACTCTGCATCGCTAACGGTGTGCCCGTTGTGCTTAAGACTTCTACCCTCTAGTTTACCAGACCTTAAGGAAGCCGTTGGAATAATGTTTTTCATAAAAAGAACTAGTGCAAAAAAAATTTTATCAATTTTCAATTTTGTTTAATAAAACGCAACTAAAAGTACGAGATACATTACCATTTTTTTCCCTAAAAATGCTTTACTACTTGAATATAGCACTTCGCAAGCTTTGCTCCATGGTGTTTCGCTATACGCAGTGAAACTTGGGGAGCGGTGCGTTGCGGTATTCTGGTTAGAAATGAGGTAGCACTCGAAAATAACAGTTATTCAGAATATCTCTTTCCATAACTCCACTTGAAATTGGGAATCGACAGAGTTTGAATTGCACCACACTTGCTGACATGTGTTATTCCGAGACCTTTCTACAGTTGTTGTTGATCGAATAACATTTTTACACAATAGAATTGAGATAATCCGCGGTCTTCCAGCAACGGTCAGAATGGCGTG